ATTCTAATCAATAATTTAGAAAACTAATCGATTATAATTAATTATTTGAAAAAATTATCAAATATGAACGATCATTTGAAAATCTAATCGATCGAATAAAAAATGTGGTTGTATATGATAGCGGTTCCACTCGAACCGCTCTTAAAAGCACCCTTCTAATAGCGGTTAAACCTTAACCGCTATCTAAAATATATTTTAGATAGCTGTTAACGTGAAACCGCTTATTATATCGTTTCAATTATGATCGATCATTTCAAAATATAATCGATCATAATGAAAACTTACATTAACTATTTTTTTGAATATTATGTTTTTAAATTTGCTATTAGAGAAAACCTTTCAGAATTCAAAATGTTAAATACTTTTAAATATTAAAATTAACATTATCAAAAATTAGGAAAAAAATTTAATCCAAAAGAGTTCAAAAATGTATTATAATATTGTCAATTTTGATTTTAATTATATTGTTCATTCTCAAAGTAGAAAAATATATTGTAATTATTTTAATTTAATAAAATATAATTCAAATTTTTAATACTAAAATTAAAAGATTAAATAATAATAAATTTATTTCTTTAAATTGAGTATTTAGAAACTAAAATTATAGTTTCTCTGTTTTAAAAAAATTGAAATAAATATTTAAAAATAAAAATCAAAACTAGTATTATCTTAAATTTATTAACAAGTGTAATTAAATCTCTATTTTCTTAATTTTTTTTGTTTTAAACTTCTCAATTCTACATTTTTGTAAGTTCTATTATTATATTATCATCCTCATCTCCTCCCATGTTCTATCTTTATAATAGTTAATATTCTTAAATAATTTATATTTTTAATTATAATTTTTTAATATATATTTCAGAAATTAATCAATTATAATCTATTATTTGAAAAACTAATCAATTCTAATCAATAATTTAGAAAACTAATCGATTATAATTAATTATTTGAAAAAATTATCAAATATGATCGATCATTTGAAAATCTAATCGATCAGTAAAAATGTGGTTGTATATGATAACTGCTCCACTAGAACCGCTCTTAAAAGCACCCTTCTAATAGCGGTTAAACCTTAACCGCTATCTAATAAAATATATTTTAGATAGCTGTTAACGTGAAACCGCTTATTATATCGTTTCAATTATGATCAATCATTTCAAAATATAATCGATCATAATGAAAACTTACATTAACTATTTTTTTGAATATTATGTTTTTAAATTTGCTATTAGAGAAAACCTTTCATAATTCAAAATGTTAAATACTTTTAAATATTAAAATTAACATTATAAAAAATTAGGAAAAAAAATTAATCCAAAAGAGTTCAAAAATGTATTATAATATTGTCAATTTTGAGTTTAATTATATTGTTCATTCTCAAAGTAGAAAAATATATTGTAATTATTTTAATTTAATAAAATATAATTTAAATTTTTAATAATAAAATTAAAAGATTAAATAATAATAAATTTATTTCTTTAAATTGAGTATTTAGAAACTAAAATTATAGTTTCTCTGTTTTAAAAAATTGAAATAAATATTTAAAAATAAAAATCAAAACTAGTATTATCTTAAATTTATTAATAGTGTAATTAAATCTCTATTTTCTTAATTTTTTTTGTTTTAAACTTCTCAATTCTACATTTTTGTAAGTTCTATCATTATATTATCATCATCATCTCCTCCCATGTTCTACTTTATCTTTACAATAATTAATATTCTTAAATAATTTATATTTTTAATTATAATTTTTTAATATATATTTTGAAATTAATCAATTATAATCTATTATTTGAAAAACTAATCAATTCTAATCAATAATTTAGAAAACTAATCGATTATAATTAATTATTTGAAAAAATTATCAAATATAATCGATCATTTGAAAATCTAATCGATCGAATAAAAAAATGTGGTTGTATATGATAGTGGTTCACTTAGAACCGCTATTATATGTTAACTTTTAAGAGCGGTGTAAATATTAACCGCTCTTAAAAGTGACAAATATTTTATTTATTTATTGACACATTTTTGCATCAGATATCGTTCGAGCGAGAGCAGTGTCGCTCAAGCGAAATACAACCCGATAATGCCAATTTTATGCAGGTGGCGTCGCTCGAGCGATGTTACTTTCGCTTGAGCGAATGTTGACCTGTGTAAACGTCGATCAAAGTTAGTCGGATAATGTAACATGGGTGACCTCATGTTTGAATCGGATGTCGCTCGAGCGAGAATAGTGTCGCTCAAGCGAAATACGACCCGAGAATGCCAATTTTGTGCAGGTGGCGTCGCTCGAGCGATGTTATTTTTGCTTGAGCGATATTGCAAAAATCAGATAAAATCATCGATTATTTTCTCATTAGCGACCGATTTTAATTCGGTCACTATTTCAATTTGTAATTCGGTCGCTAAATCAGTCGCTAAATGATTTTTTTATTTATGTATGAAATAGCCACCGATTTAGCGACCGAAATTTTACGACGCAAAATATTGGTCACTATTTCGGTCGCTAAATAAAAAAGTGAAAACCAAATCATATTTTGGTCACTAAATCGGTCGCTAATTGCGACATAATTAAAGTGGTCGCTAAATTGTTCGCTAATTGTGACTGAATTAAAGTGGTCGCTAAATCGGTCTCTAATTGCGACCAAAATTAAATCGGTCGCTAATTGCGTATGAAAAAATTCGGTCACTAATTTCGGTGGCTAAATGTGTTTTTTCTTGTAGTGAAACTTCTCGAGAAAGGAGGGGAACGAATTGATAAAGAAAATTGTTTTTATTTTATGATTTGTATTTTATTTTATTTTCTTACTAGTTACACAAAATAGAATATAAATAAGATGGAATAAGTATAATTAAAGGTGATAAATTAGAGTAAGATACTTATATTATGAAAATACTATTTTAATAAATTTTTTAACAATTTGAATCATTACTTTCATTAAATTTCTTTATCCATTTTTATTTTATCCTTAGTAACTAACATTTTCTGTATTTTATATTTCTTGTGCATTTATATTTCTAGCATATTACATAACATTCAAATTTCTGTAATTTAATATTTGAACTAATATTGAAAATTAGAATTTATAAATAAAAAAATATTATATGTATTTTCAAGAAATTAATATATGGAAAATTCATAATCAAAATTAACATCATATTAATTATTAAAATGAAATATTAGTCCACGTGTCTCATTGAAAAAATCTCTCAATTAAAATTTGTTTACTTCTATTACTTTAAAGAAAAAGAACGCAAGAAGTGTAATCTTGATTTGTACATGTGAATTGGCACGATGCATTCGATACCTCTTCTAAGTGTCCATTTCCTCACTTAATTTAAAATGGCTAACACACACACACACACACAGTATATATATATATATATATATATATATATATATATATATATATATATATATATATATATATATATATATATATATATATATATATATATATAATCAAATTAATATGCGATAAAAACATAAATTTAAAGTTTATTTTTTTTAATGTTTAGCTAAATTTAATAAAATAATATAATATAATTAAATAATATTGTTATAATATAATAAATATATAATAAATTTATTAATAGTAATATTTTTTATAAAATATAATAAAATTATTATTATAATCACATAAAATTATAATAAATATTACAAATACACAATATATTAAAAAATATAAGATTAATAATAATTAAAATATTTTTTTAATAAAATAGTTATTATTTAAAATTATTATAATTAATATGAGATAAAAAAATAAAATATATTATATATTTTTTAAAAATTATATTAAAAAAGTTTGATTTTAATTTTTTTTATCAAATTGACTTAAACATTTAATTATTTGTATTTATTTTATTAATTTTGTATCGGCTTTTTATTTAATTAAAATTTAATGATTTGAAGTAATAAATCGATTTTAAAATTTAATTTTTAATTTGATTGATTGATTAAACCAGTTGATGCGATTATATTTTTAAAATTGTATGTATATCGCATTGGTCAGATCTTCCTGTGAACTGATATAATAATAAAATGTCATAGTTGAGAAAATAATACCTAAAAACAATAGGTATTCACGACATCACTAGCTGGATACGTTTCTGCAGTTTTCTTAATTTGAGAAAGTCAACATCGATCAACATCAAGTTACCACATATGTCATTTGCCTATCTGTTAAAATATGGGAATTTCGGTGTGACTACATAAAACACATCAAATAATATGGTGGAGCATTCTTTTTATATAACTATTCCAAAAGTATTTCATATTTTTATTTTTATTTTTTTCTCATATACTTCTTAAATATTTCTTGGATATTTCTACTATTTGTAAAATATCCTATCCTTTTCATTTGATTTATAAATTTTTTCTAGAATGTGAATTGATACTTCGGAATAATATATTTTAATTATGTGTGCAAAACATTTAAAGGTATTATTATATATAAAAAAAAAAAAGTTGTAAAACATTAGCAAAAATATATTCACATGTCATGCTAATTTTTTTTTAATTTAAATGGAGGATAAAAGAATAATACAATTAGAACTAAATAGAAATTTAGCAATACTCTTAAATTGTAAGATATTTTTAATGATATAATTAGTCAATATTTATTGTAATATAAACAAAAGTTATATCTCTTCATCATGATCACAAATATGGTTTTATAAATTATGGTCATCATAATTTATAACATATTTTTGAAATGTTTTGTTAATATTTCGAGAATACATGGTATCTTAAATTTGGAAAAAATTGTCTTCTTCGTACTAAGTTTTTGGGTGCCGTAGCTTTGAGGTTGAAGGTTCATAACGAAGATCAGGATAGGAACAAGAAACGCAACTATGGTCAAATTTCAGCCACTTTTGAAAAATCAGAAGGTCAAACAATAAAGTCAATATTAAAAAAGAACCACGTCATGACGTTGATCAATCATATTGTATACCTACCCTTCTTTCATTTCTCATCTTCTCGTGCTTCTTCTATGGCTAATTTGGTCATGCACGATAATGATAATGGTTCAATGACCTTCTTTTTCCTTGCATCAATATTCTTCGTCTTGGCAGCATCCATTAGTTCCCAAGAAGACAACAAATACGCAGAATGTAGCAAGCCATTCATCTGCGGACTTATGTCCATCTACTACCCTTTCTGGGGAGGGAGCAGACCGAGTTATTGTGCCAGCAACCACCAATTCGAGCTCAACTGTGAGAGTAATCAGAACTCCACCATTCAACTTGGCTCACAAACTTTTCAAGTGCTTCACTTTGATCCAGTTCAATACACCGTGACAATGGTTCGAACAGGCCTGGTCTATGATAATTGCTCTTCCCCAGCCATAACCAACACTTCCGTGGACCCAAATCTCTTTAGTTACTTGAATGTTAGGAACATCACCATCTACTATGGTTGTCCCAACTCCTTGATTTCAAATAGCACACGTTCTTTTCCATGCAAGGAAGGTGGCGACAAGGGTGCTTTCTATGGAGATCCGGCAACTGTAAAAGTTCAAGACTGTGAAGGAGCTAGGATTGAAGTGCAAGTAGCACAGGAGCATGAGCCTGATGGGGGAATTCAAGGGATGAACAAAGCTTTGAGTGAAGGGTTTGAAGTACATCTTATTTCAGATGGTCAAGTTCAACAGTGCTTAGGATGCATTTCGACGAATGGAACATGTGGGGTTAATGATGAGTCTCAATTTTCGTGCTTTTGCCCGGATGGAAGTAAAGGTTTAGATTGTTCTCATCATCGTAGTATGTCTTCTTTCCCTTCTCTTGTCTTCTCTTCATTCATGTGTCCTGCACGAAGATATAGATATATGGTTTTGAACTTTTTAGAATATATTTATCTTGTTGCAAATTGATTATGTGATTGAAGCATTGCTAGCTTGTGGCAATGGCTATCTTCAGAAATTTTAATCAACACAGAATAATATGCTTTGGTTGTGTCTGGACATTTATTTTCACATTACCTTATGGTGGTGCGAAGTTGGTGGAGGTATTGCCAAGTATTGTTATATGTTCCTCTGAATTTGTCAACTAATCATAAATTCAACTCTTTGATTTTTTTTTTTTTTCTTTCTCCCCTGGATCAGCATCTAAATCCAAATTTTATAGTTTAATTCTGTGTGAACCTGTTGTGATTTGTTGACATTGACTTTATGTTGCTTATCTGACTTTGACTATATATTTTTTTCTTATATATAGTTTACTAATTCCTTATTGATAACTCATCAAAATTAGCTTTTTTCTCTTCCCAAAAACCATAAACTGAGTAACAAAATGAAGTGTAGTTCTACCCCATCATCAACTATTTCTAAGGTTCATTGAATGTTGTCAGGCAGAAGATTGAGTGAAGTAATATTAATTCTGTATGTTCTAAGCTCCAATTATCATTTGGCTCGGTATCGTTGACTTGAAATGGTTAATTTATTTTCTTTGTGAACCATCTGTTGATTCTACATTGTGAAAATTGCTTTCATATATATATATATATATGTTATCTTGAATATCCTCCCTTGAACTTGCTTTATTTTTCCATAAAATGCTCTCACTCCTCTTTATCTTCTATGCTAAATGTCTCAGGCGATAAATGGAATTGGCAAAGGAAGCTCGTTATTGGTAATATATTCAATTTTCCTTGATAAAAAAAAGAAAAGAAAAGAAAAACCACAATGTTGTATATATTTCATTAATATATTTATATTAACTGAAAAATTCAATGATTCATGCTAGGTGTTGCTGCTGCTGTGGTGACTGCAATTGTAGTTGGCCTTGGGTTTTACATCTATTATAGTCGTCAAAAGAAGAAGAATTATCTTCATGCAGTATCATCAACTGTGCTATCTAACTCTAAAGGAATCACATATAGTTCTTCTTTAGAAGACCCAGAGAAGGGATGTAAATACTTTGGAGTCCACTTCTTCACCTATAGTGAACTTGAAGAGGCCACAGACTTCTTTGACCCTGACAAAGAACTAGGAGACGGAGGATTTGGAAAAGTGTATTTTGGTAAAACTCATCATTCTTGTTATAATTATTGACTAAAACATCAATCTCGTCCATATTTTAGAAAAAGTAAAATTAGTCCTGAATTTTTACACTTACCAATCAATTAGTCTCTAATATCACACATAGTTAGTTCTGACTACTTGAAAACTATCAATTAATCTGATCATTGACGTGCTTAAAGTTTACAACAAATTTGACCACTGGATGTTAAAATGAAAGACTGCCAATAGTTTAAGTCAGAAACTAAATATCTTTTAACAATACTAAAGAATAAATTAACCAACAGTAATAATTTGTTGGCCACTAATTTCTTGTACAGGCAAACTTCAGGATGGACGTTTAGTTGCTGTGAAGAGAATGTATGAGAACAATTTCAAAAGAGTTGAGCAATTCGTGAATGAAGTGAAGATCTTAACTGGTCTACACCACCAAAACCTTGTGTCTCTATATGGATGCACTTCTCGCCACAGTAGAGAACTTCTTCTGGTATACGAATACATTCCAAATGGAACCGTTGCTGATCATCTTCATGGTAAAAGAGCAAAGCCTGGCACACTCCCCTGGCACATCAGAATGAACATTGCCATAGAAACTGCTAGTGCATTGGTATATCTCCACGCTTCTGACATCATCCACAGAGACGTCAAAACCAACAACATTCTCCTTGACAACCACTTCAGTGTCAAAGTAGCAGATTTTGGCCTCTCACGTCTCTTCCCAACCCATGCCACACACATTTCCACTGCCCCACAAGGGACTCCTGGTTATGTGGATCCGGAGTATCATGAGTACTATCAGCTCACTGATAAGAGTGATGTTTATAGCTTTGGGGTGGTGCTGATTGAGCTTATATCATCCATGCATGCGGTTGACATCTCAAGGCGCAGGCATGAGATAAACTTGTCCAACATGGCCATTAAGAAGATCCAAAGTGGTGCGTTGCACGAGATTGTGGATCCCACTCTAGGGTTTCAGTCGGACTTGAAGGTGAGGAAAATGATCAATGCAGTGGCTGAGTTGGCGTTTCAGTGCCTGCAGAGTTCCAAAGATGCGAGACCCTTTATGGCAGAAGTGTTGGATAGACTGGAGGATATAAGAAGTGATGGGAAGTATAAGAGCGAGCAGGAGGTGCTGAATATATCAGAAGATGATGCTGCTTTGCTCAGGAATCAACCACCTCCTCCTTCACCTTCACCTGATGATTTAAATTTGGTAACCATTTCTACACCTCCAAATGGTAGTATAGTTTAGTCAATGAGTTAAATTAATGTGTGTACATAGATTAGAGCTGACTAATTTGGTTATCAAAGTCTACTCTTCTGATTAATTTTTTTTATTGTTAATTCTTTTATGCTAATGCGGACATGTTTTGACATCAGAAAGGGGATAAAAACTGAACTTCCACTCTGTGATAAGATTTTCGAAAAAGTCTCAAAAAAGTTCTGTGTGTCCAACTTGACTATCGTGTGCGATATTTATATAATGAGATTCTACTAATGAAAGACCCGAAAACCTTGAGTTGATCCCGCTAGTTGATCAACTCTTATAAGCTATTGATCTATTCTGGATTGAACAATATATAGTCACTTTTTACTTCTAAACTTTTGAAAATATTAAAATTTTAAAAGGGCATTTGAAAGTGTATAATTTTGTCGTTCGTCTCAAACCCAAACCACAACCACCACCGTCCTACCTTAGCCTCCAAATCTGGAAATATCATGAGTAAGAGGAGCAAAATAACCTATCAAAAAACATCGGTGACAATAATGTTGTCGTGCTCGGCAACTTTCACAGCAAAGAGACGTCAATTAAAGATAGAATATCTAATACAGTCGATTTTAAAGTTGAATGATGTTAGAGCTAATTCAAATAATGTTAAAGCTGTAGAAAATTTTCTCTTAACATAAAAAAAAGGTATAATAATCTTATTCAACCAATTTTATTAAACTCAGTTTAATATCTCTCAATTTTTAATAAAATAATATTTTCAATTTATAATAAGATGTAATTAAATTTCGTTAAATATACGTTGTTTTCATAAGAAGATAATTTATTATTAGTATTAATCAAATACTAACTAACAACTAAAATACAAGACTTGTTTTATCACAGTATTCTATTTTCTATTAATTACAGTTAGTGTACAATTTTAAATTAAACATTTTGGATTATTCATTCATCTAGAACATACTGATTTAAAGAATTAATAGTCATATGGAAATATGTTTAAAATAATTTAAAATATATTTATATATTATTATTATTATTATTATTATTATTATTATTATTTTAAATATTTAAAAATGAAAACACCTATTTGTTTTTAAAATTAATTTTTATAATATTTTGGGGTGATATTTATGAATTTAGAAATTTTGTACTATATATTGTTGACATATCTTAAAAGAGGAATATATTAAAAAATACTATCGGTAAAAAAAAGTGTACATTTTCTCTCCAAGAGATAATATTATGCATACTTCAATTTAAATTACCTCTTCTAACCAATTTGTTTTCCTTATCCTTGCCCTGATTCTGCAGGTCCACTTATTCAAATCATATATCGTAGTGGAGGTTCTGTTTTGTAGTCAAACCAAAGTCCTTTCTGCCAGACTTTCCATGTTCAGAAGATTCCTAAATACTTACACATTAAAGTATTATGAAAAAGCAAAAAAGAGTAAATGTTTATATGATAGGATTCACGTAAAATAGTTATATTAATCTAAAATTATTTAATATTATATTTAAGTATGTAAAAAATATTTTTTTTAAATATACCAAAAAAAGAAATTTATTTTCTTTTTATTTTATTAATGTTTTATATGATTTAACGCAAATAATTAAAACAAAAAATAATAACCTGTGTTACTTTAATTCTTAAATTGAATGAAATTTTGAAAAAAGATAAGTTTTGGAGAATATAATTGTTTCATCTACTTATTATTAATATTTGAATATATACATAATATTACGGACAATTTACATGGATCTTTGGATTAATGAATGTTGAGTAATTTTCAAGGGTAAATGCATTCAAAATTAGAGTGTCAAAAGGTTTTAAGATATCTCTGGTTTAGTCATCTCTTCCTTCTCATCCATGATCCACTTGACGATGCAACAGTCTCCACCACCAACAAAACTTGTCTTCATCAACCTATTTTCTTCACCAACTTATTCCATATTTTTCTTATCTAATCTATTCTATCTATGTCCTCTTTCTATCGTTTAACATTTTGAGATCTGATTTAAAATCTCGTTTATGTTAATATATTACTTTATTTTTATATTAATTAGAGTATCGTATTATAAAATTATAAATATCAAATGTGTGATGCTTGAGAATAATATTTATTCGATCGAGATAAATTACTTTGCAAGTGAAGGTGGAATCTCTAATAGCATATAACATGACCTCAATAGTTAAATCAATTTTTTGTTGAATAAAAGGACAATGATGAGTGGAAGGAGAGAGTTGTGAAGAAAGAGACCCACTGAACTATCGTACGAATTAAATCAACCGCATTGAAACCATTTTATTATATGATAATTATTGTTCCTGTTGTAATTGTCATGATCAATATGAAACCCCCCAAGTGGTTCACATAGTGGCGAAGAATGAAAGGTGAAAGCAATCTACGGCATTTTCCATCGATGAACATTCAATCAAAAGCAGCCAAGAATTAAGCATCAATCATATTTTAAAAGTAGCTAAGAAAATTGAAGAAAAGGCCTGTAGTTATGGACCGTGGCTGATCTTGTTGAGAGTTCAGGGAAGTCTTGATCTCCAAAATTTTGTAACTCTCATGTAATTTATAATTTTAGTCCCTCAAAACATAACGAACATTTAATATATTTTCTTGTATATTTACAATTTTATCTTCTCAGTCATTCCTCAATTTTGTAACTCTCATATAATTTATGATTTTGTTACACTCAAACTTAATGATCATTTAATATATTTAAGTATATATCTAAAATTTTATCTTTTCACCTTTTCATCTTCTTTCTTCTTTTTATATTTATTTATTATTTATTAATAATATATTATTTAACCTCTCAAGATAAATGATTAAGATCTGTCACTTATTATTGAGGACAAGCAACATGATAGATTTCAGAATCTTAAAAAAATTTAATTATGATGTAGTACAAGTACTAATTAATTGCCATGTTCATCTTCTTCATCTTAGCCCCGTGTAGTGTTTGAAAGCTCTTGCTTGTTATTTGGGTGAGGATCATCCACATTTATATATAAAATAACTGCACCTGATGTAGTCCCTTAAATAATTCATACACCATGATAAAGACCATCAAAAAATGATTTCAAATTTTAATGGTTAGACGACTACTTATTAGAAACTGTGTTCTGCATTTTTTTTTATTTCATAAAATATTATATTTACCTCAAATTTTATGATTTAAAAAAGAAGAAACACTACAAGAAATATTAAAATTACCGACGGTCAAAATCCGTCGGTAAATATGTTACAAAATTACAGACGGATCCGGATCCGTCGGTAATAATTTTATTAATTATTAAATATTTTACTTATTTATAACATTATTTTTTTTATAGATCCCCTCCCCTTATATTCTTATTATTTATTATTAATTATTTCAATTATTTCAATTATTTCTCCATATTATATTTTTATAACTTTGAATTATTGTCAAATTAAGAGAAATGTCATTTGCAGGATTCGAACCCAAGACCTTAAAGTTAGAGTCGATACTCCAACCACTAAGCTACTAGAATTTCTTGATAACAATTTACAAATAAATTATATTTATATACAAATATACAAATACATTTATATATATTTATATATATTTATATATATTTATATATATTTATATACATTTATATATATATTTATATATATTTATATATATATTTTTATATATTTATATATATTTATATATATTTATATACATTTATATATCTATTTATATCTATTTATATATATATTTTTATCTATTTTTATATATTTTTATATATTTTTATATATTTATATATATTTATATATATTTATATATATTTATATATATTTATATATATTTATATATATTTATATACATTTATATATATTTATATATATTTATATATATATATATATATATTTATATATATTTATATATTTTTATATATTTTTATATATTTTTATATATTTATATATATTTATATATATTTATATATATTTATATATATTTTTATATTTATATATATATATATTTATATATTTATATATTTATATATTTATATATTTTATATTTTATATTTATATATTTTTATATTGTATATTTATATATTTTTATATTTTTATATATTTATATATATATATATATATATATATATATATATATATATATATATATTTATATATAATTAAATATTTATTTTTAAAATTACTTAATTTAATAAATTATTATAAATTAATCTAATTATGATTAAATTAAATTATTAAATAAAAAATATTTTATTTTTTAATTAGTGAATAATTAAATTATATTATATAATTTTACCGACGGATTTATCCGTTCGGTAAATAATTTTTAATTTACATATGAATTTACCGACGGATATATCCGTCGATAATTACTTGTTAATTTATCGACGGATTTACCGACGGATATATCCGTCGGTAAATTCATCTATAAATTACCGACGGATTTATCGATCGGATATATCCGTCTGTAACTAATTATTATTTTACCGACGGATATATCCGTCGGTAACATCAAATTTCACAAATATTTTATATCCGTCGGTAATTTCCGTCGGTAATGATTATTTTTCGACGGCTACAATTCCATCGGTAAATATCCGATCTGTAATACTGCGATTTTCTTGTAGTGAAGTCCATGTAAACATTTAAAATAAAAACATTAATTGTCTATTTTTAATATTATATATGTATTCCTTAAAATTTTTAAAATATTATATTCACAAAGATAATTGTAAAAACAATAAATAAAAAATATTAATGAAATTTTTTTTTCTTTTCATTAATATGTCATTATTCTTTATTTAATTTATAAAAGTGTGAACATGATGAATCTGTCGGCTTTTACAAAATGACCAAACGTGACATTCCAACAGAGATGTATGAAATTGCGTAACGTGACTTTCACGTGGAGGCGGTATTCTGTCCGTAACTTATATTGAATCTTTTTTCTTTTTTTTTTTAATATGTGATTTGCAAGTTATTATATATATATATATATATATATATATATATATATATATATAT